TGTTCCTACTCTTTCTACTATCTCTCGAAAGCAAGGGATAGGAAAAAATGACTTAACTATCCCTGACAATTTTCTAACTTCCTGTGTCAAACGCATCCAAATAATTTCTGGCCATTGCTGTACCCGTAGGTCCAACTGAGCGAAAACTTTCGCAAGGAGCGCTAAAGATGTCTCGACGCCGCGCGCGAGGCGGAACCGGTACGTGCTGACGTTGGGGGCACGCAGCTCCTCAGAGGCGGGCGAGGGCGGGGCCCGCGGGGGGAACCTGCTGCTGGGAGAGCAGCGGCCCGAGCCGGGGCCATGGCGAAGCTGCTGAGCTGTGTCCTAGGACCCCGGCTCTACAAAATCTACCGGGAGAGGGACTCAGAAAGGGCCCCGTCCAGCGTCCCCGAGACTCCAACTTCAGTCACTAACCCCCCTTCCAGCTCCTGGGTGAGTCGAGTTCCCCCCTGCTCAAGAACATGGTACGGTCCAAACCTTTCCCGGCCTTTGCTCTCCAGAAGTGCCCATTATTGGAAATCGGGGGCGCCTGCTTGTCAAGCTAGTTGTCCAAAAAGTCTGCGCCGTTTGTGCTTCCTGGGTTCAAGTCACGCCTGCGGGCCGGCCGCCTCCTCTCTGTAGCCCTGATCGAGCGCCGCTGTCTCATCCCGACTTCCAGCCCTTGCCTGTCCCTCCCGGCCCCCGGCCGTCTGCCGTGGTTCGCGCCGGTCCCGGTTGAGCCTTAAGCCCTGCCGAGACCCTGCGCGGACCGGGGGGCTGGCGGGTCTTGCCGTCGGCTCCCCCAGCTTCTTCCTCGCTAGCCCTTGGTGCCTTCCCTGGCCCTGTCTAACTTCCCTCTAACTGGCCTTCAATTTGAGAATGACTTCTACCTAGCATGTATCCGTCTTTCCCTTACCCACGAAACCTAGCCCGGGGGCGGGGGGACCCCAAAGTCTTTGCCTTCCTGGACCTGCTGCTGCTGGTAGGCTGTCCCCTGCTTCTCCCTGCCTTTGTGTTGGTAATCTCAAATTATGTTTTCTACCCCGAACCACCCACCCCTGGCTACATTCTCTCTCTGTTTTTTTCTTCTCCGGTACCGGGACTCGAACTCACGATGTCGCGCTTGCCAGGCAGGCGCTGTGCTGCTGAGCTAAATCCCCAGCCCCCCACATTCTCTTTTCTTAATCGACCAACTCTTACTTCTGTTGCTCTTTTCTCTTGGAAGCGTCATGGAGTCACCTGTCACCCGCTCCCCTTCTGTACATGCTCACCGGAAAAGGAGCAAAAGTCGCCTTCACTTTTGCTTCACAGTCCAGCGCCTTGTGTTCGTTCTGCTGGGCAGGGGTGGGAAATCAGGCTCAGGGTTGGGGTGAGGAAGGGTGGATTCTGTGAAGGCCAGGGTGTCCCAGGAAAGATAGCCAAGGAAGGTAGAACGGAAGGACCCATGTTAGAGCTTCCGGGAGGGGAGGCGAAGGGCCCGGCATCAGGTAGGGTCCTTCACGGGCCGTCTGTTTTTGCAGGATACCTATTATCAGCCCCGTGCCCTGGAGAAGCATGCGGACAGCATCCTGGCTCTGGTATGTCTGCCCTGGCAGCTGCGGCTGTGCATCTTTTCAGCCCCAGCTGCCTTCCTGATCCGGGCGGAGACGGTGCCCCTGGGGGTGGGGATGCCTAGGGCTCTGCTAACACCACACAGGCCTGTCTAACACAACACGCACTAACACACTCCCCGGTGTGCACACTTGGCGCTCCCCTTCGGTATGTAGTGTGGCTTTCTCTGGGGCAGGCTGAGCCCTGGGGAAAACATGCTTACCCTGGGGGCCATCTGCAGGTGCTCAGTCCTGCAGTCCCCAGTGACCTGTCCTCCCTGGCAACTAACCTCTTCGGCTGCAGAGACAGCTGTTCTCTCTGGCAGGGTTCCTATGGTGACGTTGGCGCATCTCTTGGGGACCAGGGCAGGGGCTGTCCTGAGCAGGGTCAATTGAGAAGGCTTGATTAACTCGAGCCGACAGAGACACTGGCCTTGAAATGTGGTGAAATTATGTCTGGGGGCGATTAGAGGACCACGACAGAACCTGTACCCAGTTTTTCCAGCCTCCATTATGCGCTGACACAACACATTTGAACGGATATTGAGTGCCTACTGTGTGCACGACGGCATGCACCGAATAGGTGTTTGATATGCTATTCCTCGGGTTACTCACCCTGCTCAGAGCCTAGGCCTGGGAAGGGCAGACCTGTGCCTCTGCGCATGCATGTATACGTGTTTGTGCACACACTTGTGTGCGTACTGATCGCCTGTCCCTGTCTCTCTGCTGCAGGCTTCAGTCTTCTGGTCCATCTCTTATTACTCCTCTCCCTTCGCCTTCTTCTACTTATACAGGAAAGGTCAGTGTGGTTTGAGAGGAGGTGGGGCAGGGAGCGGGCAGGTTGTTGGCAGATGAGCCGGACCCCTGAAGAGAAGGAGAGGCCTGTGTGGATGACTTGGCTTCCTCTCCCCTCCGAGGCTGTCACTGCGCCCAGGAGAGGCCGGGGGTGGAGGCTGGGGCTGGGCTGGGAGGAAGGGCTGACGGGGCAGCGGAGAGCTGCTCACGCCGCCCCTGTCTCCCCCAGGTTACTTGAGCTTGTCCAAAGTGGTGCCGTTTTCTCACTACGCGGGGACGTTGCTGCTGCTGCTGGCCGGCATCGCCTGCCTCCGAGGTAGGTGGAGAGCAGCTGGTTTGGATCCACTGTCCCTGGGTAAATGTTCAGTACTTTCTGCAAATGCAGTTTGAAGCTAGGCCCGGAGGGGGAATAACTGAGAATGGTCTAAGACCTGGTGGTTCCTCGAGGGCCTTAGGTCATAAATATGCAAACATAACTCACAGAGAAGCATGCTGTTTTCTTTTTTTAAATTTTCTTTTTTCTTTTTATTAGTACATGTTTGCAATACGTAATGATTATATTCACTGTGGAGAATTGGGAGTTTGCTATTTTCTAGAAAAGATGAATATAGGGGCTGGGGATTTAGCTCAGCGGCA